CAACTCACCAAGGCCTAATTTACTAGCATGCCACAATATTATTCTAAACTATATACCATCATTAGAATTAAATCCTAAATAAAGAAAATAAATAAATTAAATTCTAAAAACTTAAACATGGCATGCTCACAAGTTGTATATGCTTATAAAATAATCAATACAACAATAATTTAAACCTAAGACATCCCCTACCTCAATTTGAGATGAAAATCTCAAAAGCCCACCGAAAAAAAAGTGCTCCGAATCCGACGATACCGAAGTGTTTTGTCGGGGACAACACAATCTACATGAACCCACAAGTAGCCCCATCAAAAGCACAACTTGACTTCAAACCTGAACTCAAGAAATGGTCAGAAATGAATTCTATTACGGGGGAAAGGTAGAGCACGTCGAGGGGAACGATAAACGTAAAGGCCGAAGAGTTTCTACTAAGAAAATCAAGTGGAGGAGAAGAAAGAATGAAGGTAGCCCCTTGGGCTCCCATGGCTGCTGGCCAAGAAGGTGGAGAAGATGATGAAAATCTGACTTTTTGACTTAAGACCCCCTATTTATAGAAAAACTCAAAAAGTGCCCCGGAAAGGTCCCGCCGGGTCCGGAAAAGTGGATTTTGAGCAAACGCACTCAAATGACAAAACTCCGTGAACAAAAAAGATTCTAAATAAGAAAATATGAACAACGGAAGAAACAACGTCAAAAACCAAGTCCCGAGCAGAGAGATATGCCCCAAATAAGTTCGGCGATAACCGGGTCCAAAAACCCTGAAGCTGGAGAAAAATGACCAGAAGGAAATTCTATGAGTACATGACTCGAGAAAATGTGAAAATGAATCCCGTATGAGGATCCTGGCTCCAGACGAGATATTTTGCAATAACTTTCGTTAATTGCATAATGGCCCATACAAAAGGGGTTAACTGCAAAACTGCCCCTGAATGAAATTATCTTCCAAAAGATGTTTTCTTAGATACCCCTGAAATAAAATATCTTCAAAAGATATTTATGAAAAACACCCCAAGAAAAGAAAAAAGATTCTAAAAAATTGTGCATCCATGCCCCTATGGACACCGAGAGCAACTAGAGTACTTTTTTGCAAAAGTAAAGAAAATAGGGAAAAGGACGAAAAGTGAATAGTGTCAAAAAATAAAAAATGTGGAAATGACTCAGTCCTCAAAGAAGTTGTCAATCCAAAGGAAAGAGTCTCAGAAACCATTTCTGAGCACTCGAGACGACACTAAGCGATGAGAAACTGAACTCAGAAAGGAAATTTCAACGAAAAAAATTCATCCGTGAAATTCTGAGGAAAAGGAAAAGGAAGGAAATGACTGGGTCATTACAACCATAACACTTCTACTGCCACTCATTCCAACCACAGTTCTATCCTATCATCCCACCAAACCATCAAGCCACTACTAAAGGATTTTTCCTCGAATATCCTTAAGACAAGATTTGCGTAACAAAAGAACAAGCATTATTCTCGATACACCTCATAATGATCATTGCATACTATTAGAAAAGAACCTCAATACCGATAAATCCTCAAAACAAAAATGAGCATAAAACCCAGATTACTCAACACCCAACTGTCACCTCAATACCATCAATGATGCTATCAATCATTAACGCTTAACCGACAACTTAATCCACTCCTTCTAAGGCGATCTATGTGCCTAAATGAGAAAACCTCATACTCTAGGTTCAACGTCACTACCTCCCTTCATCACTGTTCCTTAGAACACTATTAACCCCGACAAAATCAAATGGCCTACCAACTAAGCCTACAAGATCAACCTCGTTCCACTCATTCTTATTATCAATCTACCTTTCCGGATCATCAAACACCGAGCACTATCTCCTGATACATCAAACACAATTGAAATACAACCCGAATCCACAGCTTTCAAATTCTAAAATATAATTCATTTGATAACACCGTACTCACCAGCTATCACTTCATCTATAAACAACCAAGAACTCCAATGACCCCATACTACCTGCTTTACAGTGCAATCCTGCTATACACAACTAAAACTAACCATTATACACCACCTCGAGACTCTCTAGATAGCCGTACCAACCCAGAACTCCGCTCATCGACCGAGCCATGCAATCGACTCACCGAGAGTCAATTTCCTATAGCACACTCCTATAGTTCTCAAATACGAGGATCACCCCTCAATAAACCACTCTCCACGATAGCCCGAACCAAGATGCCTCCTAGATCGTACCAAAGGATTCATATCTACCACTTGTAGACTACATTTGTGACTTAAGCAATCTCTGTCACACCTACCATGTCCGGTTTGTTAAGAACCTCCGCACCAAACTATGACCCAAGTCACTAACACTAACCTTCTATGGTCATACCAAAATCTTCACTCGCACACCTGACCTCCACGGTCACCAGAACCCACACACCAAAGCATGAAACTCTCACACAATGTAGTCACAATGCCTTGAAATGTAACACGTTCGAAGTCGTGCTCTAAGCACCACACAAAATACAACAAGAGGATGAAAATAGCTACACACCAAATAGCTCAATCCACGAGCTAAAAGACCAAGCCATCCATTCGATAAGAACTGACACCCAACCATCTTGAAGCAACCGAGTTCCTCACCAACTCAGGTCAAAACCCACACAACCATCCCATACTCGACTGCATAAACACATAAAAATATAGATATGCACGTTTACAAAATGAATGAAACTACAATACCATGCTCGTTACTTGTCACAGTATCATAAAAGAAAATTGCACTGACTGTGCCTACTTCTCGCCACCATCGTATATCTCATACTTTTCGCCCCATCATATATGGCATGCTTGCAATTAACATAAACACTTTATTTACATGTATCACAATTTAAACACGTATGCACTTAGCAAATAAGCATGCCTTTCAAAACAATAAACATTTAAACAGGTAACAAGTAAGCATGCTTCTTAAACAGTTAAGCACTTTAATACATAAGTCAACTCTCTACCCCTTCTAGGTAAGCCACTACCCGTCGTCCGAAAGGTATTCGAACCTAAAGCTCTGATGCCATTTGTAACATCCTCGAATTTTCTAATAAAATGCTCTAATATCATTTTGTCACGAATCGAAAATGATACCAAATACTAAAAAAAATTTGGCATAACCTCTGCTAAAAAGGGACCTACGCCAACCTACTTAAATGCATATAATATATATATATATATATATATATATATATATATATATATGCAATGGCCTCTCTTGAACCTTCAAAATTTATCTACCCTTTCCGAATTCACAGCAAAATGGACCACATTACACAAATATAACCATTACTAATTTCTCAAAGATATAACATCATCCTCCCTTTCAACATAAGCATTTACATAGTCCCAATTTACATCAAAAGTAATCAAGTATCTTAGTTAAGTTACATGGCCATGATTTGCAAAACACACCTCTTATGGCCCCGTGAATCCAAATAAGGAATAGGACAATAGGAAACGGGGTCATCCTGTATTGGGAAAGTACAACATAATATCCAATCTCATATAAACAATATTATGCTATGGAGTGCAATGCATGCCAATGTCGCTCCCCATTTTCAACATTCAAAAACCTTAACTTTCAAACTGTTAATATAACCCGCCCTTTGGTGACCCCGTAGTGACATGAGAGAAGGATTGGCTAGTGTTCTTGACCCTTGGTACCCCCGCGGCGTCATTTGAGGCCCAGCTAGCTCAACCACGCTAGGGCAATCTCCCTAGTTCCCTCTAGGCTATATTAACACACCGGCCCTTTAGTACCCCCGCGGCGACCGGGTTTTCTCAAAACCCTCTTTATCAAAACTTCTTCCCAAAATTCTCTATTTTTCATTTCAAATCACATTAATACCATCACATGCCCAATGCTAGTGCATGTATGCATCATGCCATATCCATGTTCATTATCCCACAACTAGCTCAAATTTAATTAACATAATATGATTCGCAAGAATTTCCAAGGAAATTACAACATGCTTTCATACAATCAAAATCTAGCATGATAGGCATATGAAAATCAACACTTAGGCATGCTCTTCACATAGGTCAAATAATACACATAGTTACACATTAACTTATATACACAACAACCAAATAATTTGCTAGATTCTATACAAATTAATCATGCTAAACAACAATTCATAAAGGGTTAACTCACAAAAGCACAAGATTGCATGGATTAAAAACCCCTACCTCAAAATTGTGCAAAACCCTCAAAATGGGTTCAAATTTTCGGACTCCCTAAAGTGGCTAAATGCTGAAATTGCTGGTATGGATTTGAAGGCCTCGTCGTGGGCTTCGATTTGCCGCAAACGGCTTCCAAAAATTCTAAATATTGAAGGAGAAATCTTGATTTGAAGTTTGGTACCCAAAAGAAAAAGAAAAATCAAGAAGAAGATGGAGGAAGAGAAAGCTACGGGAGTGAGAGATTTGAGAGACCAAATGTGGTCTCTAGACCACTTAAACAATAGTGGTGGGTCCCTCCACTTTCTTTTCTTTTTTCTTTTTCTTTTGCTTTAAATTTCATTTCACACCACATATATATATAAATGCAACACCATACAAATACCACATAAATTACATAAAATAAAATGCATGAAGTTCAAGTGAACCGAACCAAAATTCCCGTATGCAACAATACCGGTAGCGGGTCCCACACGGAACCGTCCGGCCCAAAAAAATAAATAAATAAATAAATAAATGCGAAATGACCAACCTTGCATTTCAAAGAGTGCCGAACTCAATGAAATGCTCTCAACAACTCACCAACACACTCGGCACACCCCACGGTATCCGGTACACAACACGTGAAAAGACAAAAATGCCCCTGTATGAACGAAATTCTGGAAAACTGGAAAATGGTAAAAATTGGAAACATCACATATTCGGCCTTTTGAGATTGTAGAGAGGATAGGTGAGGTGGCTTATAGATTGTCTTTACCTCCTAGTTTAGCAGCGGTACATGATGTGTTCCATGTGTCGATGTTGAGGAAATGTTTACGAGATGATACACAGGCTATTGAGTGTCAGACTATGGAAATGCGACCTGATATTACAAATGTAGAAGTACCAGAGCGTATTATTGATCGAATGATTAAACATCTACGACACAAGGATATAACATTGGTGAAGGTACAGTGGAGTCACCATGGAGCAGATGAAGCTACATGGGAGTTAGAGTCAGAGATGAAGGAGAATTATCCGCATTTGTTTGATGAAGGTACGCAATTTCGAGGTTGAAATTTATATAAGGGGATTAAAATGTAAGATTCCCAATTTTTTTTTTCTTTTAAGTATATATTATTTATTTTTATTACTGAGTGATTAAATAGGTCTATATATATGGATAATAAGGTAGTTAAGGAAATAAGAATTTTTTTTTAAAATTTAAATTTAGAAAGATAACGTGATGGTAAGATTTTCTCTCACGTTGGCGGAATTCTCTCCAACTGAGCATGATACACGCCATTATATGCAACCGTTGTTGTATTATATTCGGGAGAGAACAATCGCTTGAAAAAAAAAATAATAAAAGTATTTTTTTTTTATTGGAAGAGCTTCAGAGAGCGAGGGGAAGTCCTATGTATAGAAAAAGGTTCAAGAGAAGGAAATTCAAGCGTGATTAATCAGAGAGGAGAGTAGATTTGGGAAGAAGAGCTTTGGAAGCGTTACTACGGCTGAGAAGAATTAGTAGGCAAGTTAATCTCTTCTACGTTTTATTTCCAATTATATGATATATTTAGGCATGAAAATATATTATTTCTATATTAATGGTACTAGTTTTTGTACTAAGCTACTTAAATTGGAACTCTGTTAGATGTGGATAACATGTGCCGTGTAGTTTCTATATGCTTAATCTCGGTTTCCTTCTATTGTTGGGTTCATGAGTTTTAGTCTTTATGGGTTGACTGTTACGAAGTTAAGTAGGATTATACAGGAAGCATGTTCATATATGCAAATCTCTTACTTTGGGTTCATATGGTACATGGAATACCAATATTTTTATTGTGGTTACCTGGGCACGATTCCGTGAGAGTGAGCATTGGATGACTATATATCTAGATTGACTTACAGGGATTACTTGATATGAAAAGTATGTGTGGGGTAGCTAATATATGGAACCATGAGACATGATGATAGATGATGGGTTGACTGACTTCATAAATAACTGTAGTATGAGGATGGAAATTAATTTTGATAATGTAAGGTCTTGAATCATGCATTAATTCATTTGTATGGAGTTGGATTGCAGAGTGACTATATATATATATATATATATATATATATATATATATATGTGTGTGTGTGTGTAATTTATTGTTTAAGCCATATAGATGCTTAATTGGCCAAGGTTTCAGGAACATTAATTGGTGAGTTGGAGAAACTTTTTTTCTGTTTAGAGTTGGGTTGATGGTACTGACAAATGACTTGGGGTGTTAGGATGGATATTTCACTCGCTTAGTTAAACATTATAGGTCATTGGTAATGTTCCATTTAGATGTGATTCGGGGCTGTATATAGAATTAATTTTTCAACCAGTGTGTCATCATTATTATAATAATAATTATTATTATTTTAATGTATCAAGAATAATTATTTACTAAATTAATTAATTATGGATGATAGTCTATAATAAGCTATGTGAAGTCAATATCTAAGTCATTAAAGTATTACTTTAGTAATTGTACTCATTCATATTGGGAAGTGAAAATGGTAGTTATATTTTAAAGGAATGTTAAATGGAATTAAAATAATTAGGTTGGATTTGTTTTTTACCTAATAAGAGATGGTTGGATTCGTTCCTTACCACAAAATTAAAGGTTAGATTTGTTCCTTATCAATCGATGGATGGTTGGATTTGTTCTTTACCACGTAATTTACGGTTGGATTCGTTCCTTATCTATCATTGAATGGTTGGATTTGTTCCTTACTATATATTGAATGATTGGATTCGTTCCTTACTATATATTGAAGGTTTGATTCGTTCTTTACCTATGGTTGTGGGTTGGATTTGTTCTTTACCCAAAATACTTGAATTGGTTCAAGTAATTGAGAATTTAAATGATTAAGGATTTCTTCTGATGGAAGGGTTGAAGTTACCTTATCTAATTAAGCTAGAAGGCTATTACATATTTTTTTTCTTTGCTTATAATATATTGTGCAATTGTTATTAAGGTATAGTAAGAGTTACTTGTTGAACTGTGAGCTCACCCTTTATTTAAACATTGCAGGTAAGGCGCCTATGGAGCAGAATTGATGTTGCTATGACAAGCTTACTTAATAAATGTTTAGTTTATTTCTATTGTATGCAAGACATTTTAGAGTGGAATAATGTAACTAAAGGATTTTGTTCCTCATTGTTTATATGGAACACCTTATCTTTTCCTTATATGTACGGTTACTTATGTCTTGTAAATAATTTATTTATTTGTTTTTATTTTGTTAAATGATGAGATTTAAGTTTTAGTCATGCCATGTAAAGTTTTGGGGCGAGGGAACCCTTTATTGAAATTGGGGCGTGACAATCATTGCCTCAAGGCTTATTGAAAATAAGGTAACACGTGAAGGAGCTACCTTCCGTTTAAAATGATTAACTAAGATGCCCCCAGTCTTTATTTTGAATGACTTGAAAAGGCTAATTCCAGCTGTGAGACAATTGTTAGTCGGTATACTCATCTAAGTCCTACTCATCGCTTCGGCTGAAGAATGATCTCTTATAGCTGGTAACCTTTTCATCCCTAGTGAGAGGGGCTAACCTCTTCTTGTCCTCTTCTTCCTTTCCCTTCCGTGCATTCACGGCGTCTTCAGCGTTCGTGTGTTTCTACGCTCTGATCAACAACTCTACCATGCTGGTGGGAGGTTCTCTAGATAAGGCGAACAAGAATCTGGAGATTTGGAGTCCTCCTATGAAAGCGATCAAAGCCACCTTGTCGTCCACCTCTTTTACCTGCAACATCTCTGTGTTAAATCGGGTAATGTATTCCCAGATTGACTCTCCCTTCTGTTGTTTCACGGTAAACAAGTGGGTTGCTGGCCTCCTATGCTTCTGACCTGCAATGAAGTGGCTCATAAATTGTTTACTCAGTTTTTCGAAGGTATTGATGGTTCCTGGCTTTAGCTTGTTGAACCAAACTCTTGCTGAACCCTTAAGTGTAATGGGAAAAGCTCGGCACATGATTTCATCTGGCACGACGTGTAAATGCATAAGAGCTTGATAGGTCTCTAGGTGATCGAGAGGATCTTTGGTCCCATCGAAGCTTTCGAATGAGGGCATCCTGAACTTGCTAGGCAAGGGGCATTTCATAACAGTGGGGTTGAATGGCAAGTTGGTCCTCTGAACCAGGTCATCTATGGCGGCAGAACCTTTCCCTTTCATAGCCTGCATAACATCTTCCATTTTAGCCTTAAGATCCTGGATCTGTAGGCCAAAATAAGTAACTTTCTCTGTCTTTTCCTTAACATAAAAGGTTGTGCTTATTTGAGAATGGGGATTCCGCGGAGGCGGAGAAAGAGGTTCTCTGTGTCGGTTTCCGACTTCGCTTTGTTCTGCCTTGAACTTGTGAGAAGGATTGTTTTCTCGGTCCTCCTCGTGTTGTTCCCCGTCATTCAGATTGGGAGGATATAGGTCAGACAATTCTTGTTGCGGTGGTGGTCCCACTGGGATAAGATGTTACAGGATCTCTACATTTTGTTGGATCATCTGGTCCATACCCTGATTCAGAATTTGGACCTGTAGTTCTAAGGTTGCAAGTCGTTCCTGGTCATTCGGGACATCTTAGTGTTCACCTGACCCGTCTCTTTGGCCGGATCCCTACAACGATGTTTTTGTTTCAGTTACCATATCGGACTGCAAGTGCATATACCCAACCGAGTAATTGATTTAAGGGTCGGTTCCCACAGACGGCGCCAACTATTGAGGGTGAAATCCACGCAGTCCGATACGGCACCGTTTTCTTACAAAGAAAAAAATAGAAGATCAATGAATCCTGACGGCACCGGTGTGGCGCCTACCAAGAGTTCTCCGACGATCAAGTTAGTCACCGGAGGTCTAAAAGAAAGACAGGGATTTAATAATAGTTTTTGTCGTACCTTATCGACTGGTAGGATCTCATTCTTATAGCCACTTTCCCTTAGTTCATTTGTGAGATCAGAGGAGATCCGTTTGTGCGAGATCAAAGGAGATCGTTTGTTGCCAGATTTGTTGGGATATGATTTACTCCTTTGACTTTCTCAAATTGTGCCAAGATTATTTTTACCCTGTTGAACCACATCGTCTTTCATTATCCTGCATAAGAAATGTCATCATTCTTATCCGATGGAAATCTTTATCTGTGATAACGAAATATTATCGTTCGAAAGTTGAAGAGGTCTGGCGGCTGGTCAAAGTAGGTTAAGTTTATTTTTCTCTATCAGTACTAACAAAAATGTACATGCAATTACATGTAATAAAAACTCTGTATACCAAAGGGAAAAAAATAAAACAAAAGGAAAAATAGTTTACTTTTAATAAAATACCATAGTTTACTTTAATAAAATAGTTTACTTTTAATAAGTCATACAATTTAGTAAGGTAGTTTACTTTAGTAAAATAGTTTATTTTAGTATGACCAAAAAAAAAAAAATTGTTTCTTTTAGTAAGTCTTACAATTCGGTGCTAAGTTCTATCTGCTTACATCACCAGTAATATTTTTAAATTGCCTAAGAAATTCTATCATGTGCTTTATTTTATTTTTTCAGAAAAAAAACATGTCATGCAAGAGACAGAGTGCAAACATTTAAATAATTATTTTTCTTACCTCCAAATTTTTTATTTTATTTTATTTTTTATTTTTTTAAAAAGTCCCTTATCAGTCACTTTATTTAAGAATTTCAAAATATATTTGCAAACAACAATATCCAATGGTTAATTAAGGTTCCATCTTCGGAAAATATATATATATATATATATTTGATCAATACATGAGATGTTATTTATATTTCATTGAATATGCAACCAATTATTACATATAAATGTTTAACTCTCATCTCTACCAGTAACACACAATCAACACTAATACTCTGTTTGGTTGGAGGAATGGAAAAATGATTGAAGGGAGAGGGGAAGGGATGATGTTTCCTCACTTTTTGTTTAGTTGGATGAATAAAGCAACATATATATATATATATATATATATATATATATATATATATATTTTTTTTCTAATATATACTTATTATTTAAAATTCTAAAAATTCTATATCTATTCCAAATTTTTAGGAAGGTTACAAATGAAAAATACATATTTATATTAGTTATTACTTTTTTTCTTTCTCCTCTTCCACCCAATTTTGGGCCAATACAAAAATATAGAGGAGGGATCCCTCCTTGTTGTCTCTCTCTTTCTCTTACTTCCAACCGAATGCGGAAAAGTTATTTTATTCCCTCTCTCATCCCTCCTACCAACCAAACATAGCGTAAAAGAGTTATAACCTTTGAAGAAATGATAACACATGAATTAAATAATATCTTATTTTAAAATTTAACAATATCATAAACTTTAACTAGGTATGCCCTCTAAATACATCTAACATAGTATACATATAAATATAGATTATCTTAAAACAATTCTTGAAAATGATTTTCCTCACTATTCACTAAGGCATGTGGTTTATTGGTATTATTTTTTCTTTTGAATTAATATGTTTAATGATTTTCCTCACGTCTACTACGATGGCTTGTGCTGGAATTTCTTCCGCAAATGAGGACCACGTACTTGGTTCATGCATGACCAAAATTTCAAATTCCAGTCATATTTAAACTCTTCCTAGATCACGGTCACGGTTTTCCGATTACATTAATAATCTTGTACAAAAAATCAATGACAAATTAAAATATCCAAAAACAAACCCTATATATATAACACTATAACCCTATACTACTACTACACAAAACATAACTCACTATTACATTTTTTAAATAAAATGATGAATGCTAGAGTTTTTCTCGCCGCACTTGCCCTTGCCACCATTTTTTATTCCTGTAAGTTTTGTTTTCTTATTTTTTAAGTTATTTTATATTTCCTCTTCAGATATTATACATACATATATATATATATATATATATATATATATATATATATATATATGTATTTATATATGAGTCTTGATCTCTTACTCCTGATGCAACAAGAAAATTAATTCACACTTTTTATATGGAGTATCTAATGGTCATTTTTTAAACCCACCTATATCATTTCCTATTAACATAAAACCACCCTCACTCTATTTTAGTTTTCATATTTAATTTTATCATTACTACCGTAGCAATAAAATGTAATTACCAAAACAAAAATAGAAAAATCTTTGCTATTGCATTATTCAATTTTTATATCTTTGAACACAAGTGTCGGCAAATTCAATAAGAGAGTTTTTGCCACACGTAACTCCTCAAAATCTATTTTAGCTAGTTTGAGGACACCGAGACATCTTAAAATTGAAATAGAAAGAAATTTTGTTCAAACTTTAAATAATAATTTCTCTAATTTCAATTCCAATGTATCAATTCGATATTGCAGAAACTATATTTGTTCGTAAATTTATTTATATTGGACAAGTATATTTATTTGAATTTTAGTATGTGCAAATGCAAAAAAAGAGCAAATACCATTGAACACTAAGATATACAGTAAGCATGACAACCAGATGTTTATGGGGAAAATGTTCTAATATCAAACTACTGCATTCTGCTTAAGTTTGATTGCAAAATTAAAAGATACGGGTAATAAATAGGTATTATTTTTCTTTCAAATAAACATCTAAAGAAAACCAAATTTTAGTAATATATATTGATATTATCTTTCTTTCAAAGATTTCTATTTTTATTTTGGTAATTACCTTTGATGGTTATAAAGGTGGTAATCGTAAAATTAAATATGGAAACTAAGAATATGATGAGGGTGGTTTTGTGTTAAAACAAAAGGATATGAGTGAGTTTGAAAAATGACTGCTAGATTTAATCGAATAGTCTAATATAAAAAGTGTGAGATTAATTTTCTTGCTTCACGGAGAATAAGAGATCAGGACTCATTTATATATATATATTCGTGTGTGAATAATATTGTAGTAGGTGCAAATTCATGATGTGTGTTATTTTCTCTCAAACATTAAGTCCAAAATTAATTTGTATGAAAAAGTTGATGTTGCTTGTTATAGATTCCAACTTGTGGACCAAAATTAATCTCATCCACATTTTATATGAAAAACTCACATTCAAACTTATAAAGGAGTTGAACCCTTTAACCTTTTTATTCTATATTATAAGAAAAACAATACTCAATGATCTTTTATGAACTCAAATGCTTGATGTGTGTGAATATTGATTCATAGGTACACATATATTTCTGTGTCTTAAAAAAAATATTTATGTGAAGCCTATTAAGTATTTACCTAAATGGTTTTGATTTGAATTGAATGCATCAAGGCTCTACATAGTATTTTTATTTAGCGGCTTTTTTTAAAGGTAAGAGATTTAACTATATATATTGTATTACAGGGCTCACTCAGCCACTTTCACATTCACATTCACAAACAGCTGCCCTTACACCATTTGGCCCAGAACCCTCACTGGCGGTGGCGGCGCTCAATTATCGTCGACGGGGTTCGAGTTAGCATCTAAAGCTTCATCATCTCTCAACATGCCTGCCCCGTGGATCGGCCGGTTTTGGGCATGGACTTTTTGCGCCACGGACGCAAGTGGGAAGTTCAGCTGTCAAACTGCCGACTGTGCCTCCGGTCAGATAGGTTGCAATGGTGCCAGTGCAATCCCTCCAGCAACCCTAGTAGAATTAGCCCTGGTAGCCAACAATGGACAAGATTTTTACGATGTTAGCCTAATAGATGGGTTCAGCTTGCCGGTTTCCATCATCCCACAAGGTGGATCCGGCAGCTGCAGCCCCTCTTCCTGCCCGGCTGACGTCAATGCCGAGTGTCCAGCGGATCTTGCGGTGAAAAATTCAGATGGTGCCACAATTAGTTGCAAGACTGCATGCCTAGCATTTGATCAGCCACGGTATTGTTGCACTGGAGCTTATAACACAGAAGCGACTTGTCCACCAACGAACTACTCTCAGTACTTTGAAAAGAAGTGTCCTTTGGCTTCTAGCAATGCCTATGGTGTCACAACTAGCACTTTCACTTGCAATGGACGACCTACAAAAGCTATTACATTCTGTCCATGAGAAATAGGACAGACAAGGGGGAAATTTTTGTTTAGTGGTAACTAAAATAATTTAGAAATAGTAAGTTACGTGTTAATGTCTTAATTTGTACTTGTGGTCACATCACACTTGACCTTGTACAATAAATGTAAAAATAAAACGAACAAGTGGAAGCTGAGGTCTTCCCACTTACAATGAATCAGTGTGCAAATTAATCCTTCTACTCAGTTGATCAGCAAGTATCCATGTTCTTATGCTCATTGTATAACCAATAGGTTCAAACTATATAAGCTTTTTATTATTATTATTATCTTTGGAAGGTAAAAGGCATTTTATTGTGTATGTTTGTTGTCAATGATCAGCATTGGACACCAAGGAAAAAAAAAAGTGAAGTGAATGAAAGAAAATTAAAATTTTCATCATGCAATATTTGATTAGCATAAAAAGTATTCAAAAAAATGAAAGTGAAAATTTTTCATTGTGCATTTGATCAACATGATTTTTTTTTTTAAAGAAAATTATGGGAAATTAACATTTTATGGTTACAATAACATTGAAACTTACTATAGAAGAAATGTCATTATTCTAAGTTCATAACATTTTCTCAAGAAATCAAATTTTTTTATTAATTTTTTTTGTAGAAAAATTTTATAAGAAAGTTAGGTGGTAATGAAAAGTAAGTTTTCGTAAATATTTTCCTTTTCCTCTTAACTAAACTAAAGTATTCAGAAAATTTTCATTTCATTTCTTTAATTTATTTCTATTTCCATCTAACCAAATGGAGCCTTAAAAGACCTTGATAAATCTTGCGACCTATATGCTGGCTTATATTGGTTAAAGACTGTGCAACCATAATATAACTGAAAGCGGGGAATTATTTCCAAAATGAAACCAAAGGACAAATTAATTTTTATTTTCTTTTCTTGGTAAGTCAAATATATTATAGAAATAAAAATGCTGTACAAGAGATGGGGAATGCCTAAAAAGGTTTCAGAGACCTACAAGCCAAAAGGCAACCCAAGCCCAACCAAAACTAACTATAAGAAACTATTACATTTGCAGCTAAACCCAAGAGCAGCAGGCCAGGGAAGGAAGTAGAGCAAGGAGAGAAAGCTACCATCACAAACCATGACAGAGCTTAGGAGATTCCAAGAAAAACCAATCGATCGAGAACTCCCTACAAACATCCAGAGGCTGTTTCACATACAAACATCAATAGGCTATTTCACATACAAACATCAATAGGCTTGCATGTTACCTCCGGTGGATTATGCTTTCTAGTAAAGGCACAATGATTCCTCTCCTTCCGAATGTAGTAGATATACTCGGAGAAACATAGCATGTAGGTCGATGCAATGTTAGATTTTGAGTTGGGTTTCCATAAGGAAGCACCATAGAGTAATGAAGTTGATCAACGCTGCGATCTCCGTAGTATACTCCACATTTATGTGAGCACATATTTGTGAAGGATCTATTGGTGCAGCCTGGTCGATCCTTAGTATTAAGCTATTGGTTAGAGCCAACCAAGTGATAAATGCATGTCTAGGGATATGGTTAGAAAACTAGATGACATGGGACCAAACTTAGAGTAGACCAGGAAGAAGGGTATATAGGGTTTGTTTCAGGTTAAAGATTCCCGATGGGGTTAGAGTCCAGCAAGCTTTATCATTACAATTATCATAAATAGGTGGAGCAAGCTCAGACCTACCAATATATGGGACTCTCTCCCTCTCTCTCTCTCTCTCTCGAAAGAGGGAGTGGAATCTCCATTGATTATGCATCATTTGAGTGCTAATTGTGGCATTATCATCCGACAATGAGGCATTAATAATGACATGATCAATTATTTGATTAAGAGGAACAGAGGGGAGCTAGTAGTCATGCCACAGAGACATGTCATTTCCATCCCCCACTAAATGCTTGATAAAAGGCCTTGCAAGACCTTTAATTTTAAGGAGTATTCTCCAATTCTATTAACTGAGTTGGCTGGTTTTAAGGGACCATAAGCTCTTGTTCTTAACGAGATTAGAATCATTAGAGTAATCCCACTGAAACCATAACGACTCAACCTTATCCCTGAATATATTCCAAATGCTAAGATCGAGGTTCTGTTAAAGTGCAGCAAGGTTAAAGAGACCTATACCCCCATACTCCTTTGGCTTACAGGCATCACACCAGTTAAACTTGGCCCCTATAGATTTCAATTCTACACCAGTCCAAAGGAATCTCCTCAAAATATAGTTGACCTGGTTAATGACCTGTATAAGTAGTATAAAAAGACTAGTAGAAACATACACTCACCCAAATGGACTTGATAAGTTGGTGTCTACTAGCATAGGATAGAAACTCTAAGGTCCAACTAGAAATTGTGAATGTAATTTTCTCAATAAGGGATTTACTTTGATACCCCTCGACTCCGAAACACAGGTTGATCGGGCTAAACCCAAAATTAGGAGATATCAAACAATTAAAGTAATAAATGAACACGGAATACAAAAGATAAATAAGAATAAATAATAAAGTTGAAAAGAAACTAAATAATCATCTTTCATAAAATAATCCAATAAAATAAATCCTCCATTAGTAATTCAAATCCTCTGATACCAGTAACCATTTAGATTACAACTCGGGAATCCATATATGAACCCCTAATAAAAATCTCAACTATAAATAATAATCCAAACTGAAAACATAAAGAAGAATCCTATGTAGAATCAGAAGAGTGAAGTAAACTGTCTCTGCTCAGCACGAATAATCTCTAAGTCTTGAACTAACGAATACCTGAAAAATAATAGTGGCTCAGGCCCACGAACAAGTTCTACTCTACTGCATCCTAATTAAAGACCCGATACACGTATACATCCTAGTCAACTCAACAAAAACTACATAGTCCATATATATATTGTTACACACTAAAGGACTCTTATTGGACTACAGGGCGGCCTCAACCTGAATAGTAGGTAACATGCAAAATGCACATATAGTGGGCATGAGTACCATGATCTAACAGGGAACACAACTATCCACTATATCCAGCTATGCATCCTAGGCAATATACGTGCCCTAACCACTGACCTTGAGACTCGAGCTCATATCATGGCACATATCCATATATATATATATATATATATATATATATATATATATATATATCCATCTTATCCAAATTAAACATAAAAGTAAACTATTTACCATGTTCTTTAAATGGCATGTCATCCAACCGGTTCCGTGGCCTGACATGAATAGATAGGACTAAACTTAATAGTTAATCCATCCATTATATGCCCCCATATCCTGCCCATGGTACATTTAATCCATAATCCAACAATTGATGCAACATATATATTTATACATCAAATAATCCAGAAATAGCATGGTATAAATCATACCGATATTTATTATATATATTTAAGCAATGATGACAATTTAAATAGTATGCAGTTAACTTACATCACAAGTAATTAACCTACATCTCAATTAAATTATATAAATCTTCCTAGCCAAGATTAAAATCATATAAGCACTTATTTAAATTGTTAAAACAATTTAAATATATCAAAGTATCCATTAAACAACATAGAAGTCATTAAAAACCCTATTGTTAAATTCCTTATCATATAAAGGTATATTATGCATTCTGGGAATTTACTCAGCCCTTTTAATAATTAAAAATTGACTAAAATAATTTAAAACGCATTCTGGGCATCCAAGATGTCAAATGTGATACCACAATATTTTCATGTGTAGGTTGGCCAGGCCCACACCCAAAAGCACGGGGATATAAAAAACAAACTGGCAATAATCGAACACAAAATACAAAAGGATAAATAAAAATAAACAAAAATGCTGAAATGAAAACTAAGAAAATAATGTAATATTTAAATCCTCAGAATAAATTTCCATTAATTAATTCTTTTGATACAATTAATCCTCCGGTAATACAACTCGGGAATGCATACTGTGTGGACCCCTAGAAAACCAAAACTGAAAAGTAATAGTAAGAACTGTCTACATCTGAAAACTAAAACATAACTGAAACTCCTATGTAAAATCAGAAGAGTGAAATAGACTAGTCTCTACTCAGCACGAACCATCTCGACACCTGATAAATACTTGAAAAATAATTGTGGGTCAGGCCCACGAACAAGTTCTACCCTACTACAGTCCGAGCAGAGATCCGATACACATATACATCCTAGTTAACTCAACAATAACTAAGTAGTTCGTATATATATAGATATACACTATAAGATGCTCACAAGGCTATAGGTCTGCCTCAACCTGAATAGTAGGCAACATGCAAATCACACATAAAATGGGCATGAGTATCTAGACCTACCAGGGCATACAGATGTTTACTATATCCAGTTATCTATCCTAAGCAATATACGCACCCTAACAATGATCCTGAGACTCAAGCTCATATCATGGCATATAACTATATATGTAAAATCCGTCTATCCAAACATAAAAGTACTCCATGGTATGTCATTCAACTGTTCATTGACCTGACACGAATAGGTAGGACTTAACATTTTAGTTAATCCGTCCCTAGAAAATATGAATAGGTAGGACTTAACATTTTTAGTTAATCTATCCCTAATATGCCACCATCTCATACTGGTACATATAATATATGCATGCAATCCATAAATGATGCAACAAATATAATATCACATCAAATAAATCTCGAAATAAGCATAATAAAAACTAGATATTCCCATGATCATATTATGCAGTCAATACATGATTAAAATCATTTAACCTTCACCTAAATTGCTAAAATAGTTTTAAGCAATTAAATACTCAATTATCAACATGTAAATTCGATTAGAATTTCATACTAATTAACCCCTAGCATAATAAAATCAGAAACAATACATAATTATATTATACTGTCAATGCATGATTAAAATCATATAACATCTATATAAATTGCTAAAATAATAATAAGCAATTAAATCCTCCTTAACCAATAACAACATGAAAATTTAATTAAAATTTCATATATATTCCAATCC